GAGGACCCCAGCCATACCTTACAGAATGGGGGCCCTGAAATTCATGTTTCGGTTTACTTGCGGTAATAAAGTCATATTCTGCCAATATTCTGTCAATACTAAGTATTTCTGCAGGAACTTGGCATTTTTTTTTCTTGGCATTTTATTAAGACCAATAGATAATGAAAGAATTTTTAATTCAGTGGTTTGAGAGCTTGATTTGTAGTCAGGATTTATTTTATGCTGGCTAGGTACAAACCCCTTGACCTTTGCTGTTTCCATGATTTTAGATATTTCAGTGATGTGAAAGCAGATTGCTTGGAATTGGTTTAATTTACATGTTTAGACACTCCCTAAATTATTTTCAGCAATTTTTCCAATTATTTATATAGTATATGGTATTAAAGATTTCCACTTACTTCATTGAACCAGAAGTCTACCAGGTCACAAGACTGAAGAGACCTAAGCAAATAGGTTTTCATTGGAAAAGTCAGGAAGATACACCATAATACAAAAAAATGCTGAATTCTTACTATACGTATATGGATACTTAAACATTATTTTGTTAATCTCCCTATTTTTCAGTGCTCTAAATGATAAATTGCTGTATTTCATTAATGTATTTCAAAGTGTTTAATTTCCTTGAGTGACAGAAATGCCAGTAATTTGGAGAGCACAAAGTGTCCAATTATAAATTTGAAAAGAATGTTCACTAGATTTCAATTACTGATAAATGAGCATAATTTCTTTGGAGGAAAGCAATACTCACTCTGCCTTGTATCAAGAAGATGGAAGAACATGATGGCTTAGGGAATTGACAACAGGTGAAAGTACTTTTTGACTTCAGACTGCATGTGTGAGTTCAGCTAGTTCTGGAACCACTGGAAGTTTTTGAGCTTTTTGTACACCAGTCTGAGATGAAACTTGCCATTTCATGATCATTGGAGCTCATCTTGTGGTTCAGTCATTCCTCCCCACTCCTGGCCACACAGTCCTGACCTTTTTCCCTTGCCCTTGCTCTGGCCCTCTGTGCAAACTCTGGGGCTGCCCATGCTCTCTTGCCTGACCCAGAGGCTTCTCCTTCCCAGTATAGTTTTCTCTCCAGTGCGTGAACTGTCCAACATCCATATCCAACAATTGCCAGAGCACGAAGTGACAGGCCAGGTCAGATCAATAGCTATTACAGGTATAAATTTCATGATGAAAGACAGTGACCTCATTAGCTCATTTCTGAGGCAGTTACTGGTGTTGGACCATAGTAGACGCATTTAGAGTATGACTTAACTCATTAAGTCCTTGAATGCGTTACAGACCTCAGGATATACAGTACTCTGCAGAATAACAGTAACAAAAAGCTAGTGTGATACACTCCATTCTCATACATTAACTGTATATACTCTCTCTAAAAGGGCTTTAAGTGCTAATTCCTGTATGTGGAGCTACTTTGGATTGAAAAAAAGGTGCCAGTATCTTCATTTAGGTAGTGTGACAAATGGCAATTTAAATTCAGAAAAGAAGAAAAGTATTACAGCAGTATTGGTTTGATTACAGAACATACAGTACAAATTAAGGGGAATGCTTAAAAGAAAAACTAGTGCAGAATCTGCGTCTTGAATCTAATACAGTCCATTCGCCTAGGGACCCTGTGAGTAGGCTGTCATTTACACCACTTCATGGGTGTGATGATAGCTGTGAAAATGTGAAGTGAACAAGCCAACACTTTGGTATACAAAGTGCCGGAGACAGTGTCCTTGAAAGATGTGAATCACCCTGTTTATCCCAATCCCGTCATTGAGAGGACTGCAGGATTTAAGGGTGCAAGCAGGGGATTTGTCTCCCCCATGTCGTGTGGTTCCTGACGCGCTGTGCGTGCCTAGAGTCATTCCAGAACTAGGACTGGCTGACCAGCACTCGCCCCTGCGATAGCCTGCATTTGTTGGACTGAAGCCGATCCAAGCTGGCCTGGCTGCTTTGGCAACTCTGGGGGCCAGTCATGTGCCCTTTCCATTTTGGACAGCAGACTCGGGTTTGTGAGTGACAGAAGCAGAAGGAAATAAGCACCTTCCCTACATCTCCAGGTACCATGGGGTAGAGGAATAATTGGAGGGCTTCTTTTGCATATTTCTCCACCTAGGTGATGGGAGGGAGAGCGTGGACTTGATTAAGCCTTATTAATGTGAGAAACTGAACCAAACATGGGACACATCTTACATTGCCTTCATTCTGTGTACAAAACTCAATGTACACAGGGTGCAAGTCAGATAGAGTTTGGATCGAAGAAGCAACTTCATTTATCAAAGGAGATAACATGCATAATAAAAATGCAGATTTACATTTTGTTTTCTCCAGCTCTTTGATACTAAATTTCCGTGCTCCCCTAATACGAAATATTGCAACAGTTCAATGAAGGTACCAAATGGTAATGGTACCCAAAAGCATATGTATAAAAGGGCTATGTACTTGGCTTCCTTTTCACTCATTTTTGTAATAAAAGAAGACATGGGCATTCAAGGAAGCTGAAAAAACAATCTAATTAAAACCCAGATAAAAAATTCTGGGTTTATACGGCATAGTTAACATGTGCAGCTCAGTGCCCCAAAATTGATGGTGCCAAATGCTTGAAATTTTTTTTTTATTTACTTGTTTATTATTTATTGAATTACCCAACATAGACGTTTTGCTTTTTAAGGCTTGATTTTGTGGAAGAAATAGCCCGTTAACCGATGTGAGACCAGAACAGAATTTTTCATTTGGACTTGCTGTTCCGGATGATTTTTCACCTTCCCATGAACCAGAGCTAGCGATATTTCCCTGAAGCATGACACATCCTGGCTTGACAGGAATTTCTAGAGACTGTGTAAAGCTGGAAAGAAGGACTTAGGGCTGAACTATTCAGTTTAGCATTACTGTAATGCTATAATAAGTTCTGCAACAGTGCTTCTTTTTCCTTATTTGAGTGTGTGGTTATATTCCTTTTATGCTTTTGCTGTAAAATAGTAAGTAACTCCAACACAGACTTCCAGAAGCAAAAGCCTCTGAGTAGTTCTATTCAAGGAGTTGAGACATCCAATCTTCACATACTACAAAGCCCTTTGTATGTGACGTACAAGGGGCTGCCTTGAAGAAAGTCTTTAGTTAAAGACCTTAAAAGTGTGGTTTTGAAATCAGTACAGTAATTTCTTTCCAGGTGTGGGACACTTCAGAGGATTGTCTGCTAAGACATTATCACTTTTTTTGTCAGTGAGCAAATGATACATAAAAATGACAGACGCTAAAGAGTGGCGGTGGCAGCAACTCTAACCCTGAACCTGAGCCATAGAATCATAGAATCATTAGGTTGGAAAAGACCATTAAGACTTCCCTGGGCAGCCTGTTCCAATGCTTGACAACCCTTTCGGTGAAGAAATTTTTCCTAATATCCAATCTAAACCTCCCCCTGGCACAACTTGAGGCCATTTCCTCTTGCCCTATCCCTTGTTACTTGGGAGAAGAGACCGACACCCGCCTCGCTACAACCTCCTTTCAGAGCGGACCTAGCAAAGCTTGGAATTTGTCTCCAACCTGTTTCCACACTACTTCTTTTTTCCAGAGGCACTCTTTTCCTTTTCTTCGCATTTGCAAGAAACTCTGTTCTCTAATACAATACAGCCACAGAAAATGCTGAGAGAGATTTTAAAGTTAAATATCTCTGTCTCCAGGGAGTCTGTATATTGAGGTGGCCACTCGCAGCTTCCTTCCTTAAATTTGACTTTAAAGACCGCTTAAATTCGCCTTTCTTCTTCTCACCAAAAAACATGTGGTGCTGGTCAGAGGGGCTGTTCTTTCTTCCTGCCATCCCTTCTTTGGGCTAGATGGACCACTGGTTTGATTTGAAATAGCAGTTCTTGTGTTCTTAAAGCTTGAGCATGAAAAGGATTTTTAGACACTTATTAATGACCGAAAAGAAGGATATAAAATTAAAGTCTACTGACACATGCAATCTACTCCCCTGAGACATCATGGGGATAGAAACCTGCTGTGGGATCATTGCTGTGCAGGGTGTGAGGCAGAGCTTGACGAGTACAAATTCAGTGGCTGAACAAAACTATGGACAAAAATTTTGTTTTGTGTTGGCCAAAATATTTCTGTTATGCGAGAAGATTCCCTTCCTTTAGAAAAAAAATAATTTGCAACAGAAAAATCATTGGAGAGAAACATGTTGTACCACAGGTAAGTAAAAAATTTAGGATTTTGTTATTTTGGTCAAATGAATGCGTCCATAACTTTTGGGGAAAACATTTGATTTTTCAAAATTGTGCTTGGCAAAAGCTATGCTTTCCTTACAAGTGTTTTTAAACCATGTTTATTTGATTGTCATTGATAGCTAGCTGCACTAACTTACAGTGCAATATGTTGGGTTACAGAATACTGTATTATAACAGAATGTTTCCCCCTCTGACAGTGGACTGAGGAGCTGCAAAGTCACTAGCACACAGCATAAAGTATGGAGCCAAACCAAAATGTGAGATCACAGCAGAATGACAGGGATGTTTAGAGCAGAGAATGGAGACATCACCCCAGATTTTCTGGATTTGCCTAGAAATACAAGGGCAATCAAGAGGGAGTGAGCACAGATTGTTCCTCAGTTAACATTGTCAGAGAGTGCATCACTGTACGGGATA